GTGCTGTATTCCATCACATTTCAAGGCTAARTAGGGTCAGGATAGGTCAGTGAATGATTATGAGATAACAAGTGTATTTTCAGGTGTACCACAAAGAGTGTTAATGATTAAGTATCTTGTTTTCACTCCTGAACATTACAACGGTTATAGGACTGAATGAATTGTAAAAGCAAGGCCATAACCACTCAGCCCCTTTGAGTTATTAAAGACCCAAGAGATTATTTTGAGGCTTTTAAGTTCTGGTGCTAATGGGCTCATTAATCAGACTGAGAAATTCATAATAACTGGTATGTATGAGTAGAAGACAGACAAGTTCAAATGGGATATTAGACACATATTTTAATGTTCACAATGATTGCTTCTGAAAGCTACTGTGAAAGTGGCAAATTATGCATCTCCACATGTCTGTGAGTTGATGCCTTTATAGGAAGCAATCTTCAGTGAATCAGATGCTATTAGGCTCAACAGAAGGGTAACTGGGTTGAAACAAAATTGAAATGGATTCAGAAAGTATTATGGACATTAGTGATGTACTAAGTGAAAACCTACTATATGGATATCTTTCTTTTGGCATTAGTTTATACAGTTTTAATTTTTTAATTGTTAAGGTCACAGCATCCAAATCACAAAATAAAAAAAAACATTTTAAATAAAGACTCCCTACATTGAAAACCAAAAAACTTGCTAAGCATTTTACTTCCTTGGCAACTCTGATGCAGCATGTTCTGAATAGCACACTTGAAATGCGACATTTTTGTCAACATATGAAATCATTTAATATTTTCCAGGTTCTTCATTGTAACTGATACATGCTGATTAGTGAAATCAAGGACATAAACATCAATAAGACCTAACTTTTGCAAGATAATTTGATTTCATGTGAAACAGTAATCATTCCAAGTCAAGATTTTTTTTTAAAGGTCTAATTCAATTGTGTTGGTGACATTATAAAAATAGATGGTGTTTAATCCCATTTGCTAATAGTTTAATTTTATTAGAGCCTTTATGTTCCTTTGATGTACAATCAATTAGCTATTTGGCAATTGTATCTACCTTTAAATATAGATATGTTTTGTTTACATGGCTCTGCTATTCTAATACTTCATGCTTATTTAATTCTAACCCTGTGTACTGCTGAAAAGGTTTAAAAGCAAAACAGCTCTGCCGTGGAAGTGCTATAACCCACAGCAGCAGTTACTGCATGGTCATTTTGAGAAACTGGAAGAGGAAGTGACACAGCAGGATCAGAGACTTCCATGCATTCTACTGTAAATTGCATTTTCTGAATGAAAAGCAAAAACCCACTACTCCACTTAACTAAAACATGAAAAGGTTACATGAATGACACATGCAGAAGAGGCCTAGTTGATCTTATGAGACTTACAAGATTCTGAAGACCAGATTTGCAAAGCCTCTAAATAATCAGAGTCAAAAATTACAGGTCTTGGTGTCTCATACAGCTCTGTCACATAATCATTGGCATGCTTTGAGGTTCAGCACCCTTGTTCTCATAATAAAGGTTTATCTGTCCATGAGGACCTAGGCATTCCTAAAAGTACTTCACTAGAACAGGATGTGAGGGAATGGTCTCAACTTGTGCCAAGGGAAATTGGCATTGWATATTAGAAAAAATTCTTCACTGAAAGGGTGATCAAAGTGTGGAACCACCATCCCTGGAAGTGTTCAAAAACTAAACCATATGTGGTACTTGGGGCATGGTTTAGTAGCAAACATGGCAGTGTTAGGTTAATGGRTCAACTGGATGACTTTAAGTCCTTTCCAGCCTTAATGATTCTATGATAAAACTGTGTAGCTCATTTCCTATCTTGCCCCTTTATTTCAGGAGAATTTAGAATTTATTTAATGGGTCCTGAAAAGGTGTCACAGACATCTGTTGTATCCTGTTCCCTAAAGTGCAGAACTGAAAAAAAGGTGGATATTTTTCCAAATTAAGCATATGAGAAATTATTTCTGTTGAGATAAAACAGCTAGCCATTGAAATATGCTTTGCTGCTCCAAATAAAATTGACCTCAAGAAATGAAAATGTTATCTTGGAAAATTTAACACTCATTAGTAACTTCAGGAAATACTAATGAGTTGAAGGAGAGCATTTTTAGCTCTGAAGATAAAAAACCTGGATTTTACATAAATAATCAGAATTATATATATTACATATTTATATTATATACATATGGATATATATGGTATATTTATAATATACATGTGGCATATTATATAAAAAAAAATATAATATGTATTTGTTGCTTTCTGCAATACTATTGCCTGAGGAACATGAAATTAAAGGAAGTCCAGATGTTTAGAAGAAGATATTTGAGCTCATATGTTTTTTTTCTGAAAACTGTTTGATTCTGCTTTCTATCAATGGTCAATTAGTACAGAGGCTGGAATAAGTTCTCATTAAGCATATATCCAAATGAAAAGACAATTAAACATGCCAAAAAAATCGTAATCAATCCTAAAATTATTGTTCTGAAGTTAGATCTCCTACTTTGAATGTTATTCTTAATTAATTAAGTTCTGTGAGTTCATKAAATGTGTTTCACCATATCAATGCTTCTCTATAATATTAGGTCTTTGGACTAATATGCTATTGCAAAGTTTGATGTTGGTTCCTATAAAGAAGTGGAGTTATATATTTTTTCATAATGGGATTTAATGTCAGTTTAACCAGACTTAATTAAACTTGGTCTTATAAATCATTTTATTGAGAAGTGCAATGAATTTTTCTTAGTTTTATGACTTTTTAATTAAAATGAATTAAGCCAGCTTGTGGTTAAATGCCTGCCTGCAAACTAGTTCCCTTACATTTCCATGCTATTTTACAATGTTCTAGACACACAATTTAAACTGTTTCAGGATGTAATGGATTAAAACCTCATTCTGTTTGACCTTGTTACATTTTTAGGAACCTATTGACATTTAATCTAGCAATTTAAAAAAGAACTGAGTCATGTTTTGATCCAATTATCAATTATGTTAAGGTAACTTAACAGCATGGTTAATACAGTCCATGACCACATATACACCTTTGATTTTCTGTTGTGTCAGTGTCCTGTTTTGGGTGTAAAAGKAGAGTTAAAGAGTAACTCATTGAAAGTTAAGTTTTACATATCAAAGCATTCACAATCATAATAATAAGTGTAATTTTCAACTTTATCTAATATTYTATTTACACTTACATACTTCATGAGTAATTGCATTACACATTTCAAGGAACTTCTGTGTCATGATTTTGTCATGTCTGTGTCTACAATATTCATCTCTGCTAGCTTACATAAAATATGCAAGTAATTTTTAACAAATATGTTTAAACAGTAAATTTCCAAAAAATTAAAACAAGAGTTTCTTTCTATTGCCTGGGGCAGTGAAGGACACTATGTGACATGCTAGAGCCTGAGTATAATTCTGATGTTGTAAGTCTTGCACCATTTTATCCTGTATTTGTTATAATATCTCACCAATACTGTGTTACTTCTATATCGATTTCTGATGATCAKTCATTCTTTCCACCTGGTCCTGACCCAAGGAAGCCATGTTAGACAACATTGATTTGGATTTTTATATGCTAAAAAATGAAAACTGAACTGAGTGGGTGTAGCAGTGGAATTATCCACTTCCCTCAGTTTTCACGTTCTTACACTTGAATCCTTGACTGATGTTCTTTCATTCTTTCCCCACTTCTTGCCTTAAACTTGCAAAGTCTATCCAAAACAGCATAATGAAATTCATTATTATTTTTCATCTATTAGATGTGGTAACTTACTGATCCTTCTATTATTTTTTGCATTTTTGGTTTACATGCAAATTTAGTTTGTTTTTTTTTTTTTTTTTTTCCTGTGCCGCCCATCTTCAATTACTATACATTCTTCTTCTCTGTGTTATTCCTATCCTTATTTGTCCTGATTCTGTCCAAGACAAGGTTAATTGTTTGCAGTAGCCAGGAAGGAGCAGAGCTAGGACATGGAGGTTATGCTGTGAAATCTTATGTCATTGTCTGGAATGGGGGGAAAGGTTGCATTCGAGTGGAAAGGATTCTTTCCAGTAAATAAATGTGACAGAGGGATCCATCTGGTATTGTCAATTTCAGGGAGTGGGTGTTTGTGTGGGGGGAGCTGTTGGTTCTGTGTGAATCGTTCTCTTTCTTGTACCCTCTGTCATTAGTATTGTTGCTGTTCCTGTTTGTTTCCTCACCTCATTGCTGTTTCCAGTAAATCGTTCCTATCTCAGCCAGTGACCTTTTGTAYCTCCAGTTCTCCTCTCCAGCCCACCCCAGGGTGGAAGAGTGAGGGGAAAAGCAGGGGAGCAAGAGTGTGGCGCATGGTTGGGAGAGTCTCAATGGGGGCACTGAACTGGGGAGTACCGTTCYTAAACCACARCAGTAYTRTAGTTTTCAGTACTGTGAGATCTTAATTGCTGTAAACATTTTGCGTGATAACTGGACTTTAACAATGTGTTCTAAACAAGTTAAAAAAAGAATCCTTAATTCATGGTGTTGATCTTCCCCTCAGCCTTGTAATAGGTACAGACAGAAATCTATCTATGCATAAAGTAACTCTATGTGACTGACAAGTTGTTTAAAAAATAGATCAGACAAAAAAAAAAAACAAAAAACAGGAAAATGGAGTATGTGCATATAAAGATTTACAGTATATTTAATGTGCTCAATTACTGCTGAGTTTATAAAAAAAAATCAATGAATAACCTTTACTATTTTTGACAATTTTTAATTATGATGTTACCATGTAATCTTCATGTTGTCTTCAGAATATATTTATATATGAATTGCAACTATAGCTGTTGAACTCTAGTCTTTTATGTTTTGTTTTTCTCATGATCTGCAAGAGTAATGCAGAGCATACCCTTATCTGTGTATAGCAGATATTGACTAATCCTGTGGCTTGTTAGCTTTAACARTTATTTGTATTTTCTTTCAGTATTCAGAATCAGCACTGAATCTGAAATACTTTTTTCTTCCCAGGAGAATATAATGGAAGTTATAAGAAATCAAGAGTTTTTGCTTCTACCAGCTGAAGAACTCCATAAACTTCTTGCCAGTGATGATGTCAATGTTCCTGATGAGGAAACCATTTTCCATGCCTTAATGATGTGGGTGAAGTATGATATGCAGAGGCGATGCAATGATCTAAGTATGCTGCTTGCTTATATCAGATTACCACTCCTTCCACCTCAGGTATTTTTATAATTATCTAATTATCATCATCATCATCATAGCAACAAGAACATCATCATCATTGTGTTCTTGTGATCATAATCTGCAACTTCTTAATACTCTGTTTAAAAGCAAACCTGTTCAGAATCAAAAAACATAAGTAGTAGCTCATCACCTGGAGTGATCTAATAAACTTGAAGTTTGGGCCAACAGATACACAAGAAGGGCAGAGTTGTGAAACTGAAGAGGAGTGACTGCAGATTTCGTAGCATGTTAAGAATAACAGGAAGAATAGTAAATATTCTCAGAAAAAAAAAAATAAACAAAACCTAAAAACAACAGACAAACTGACAACAAAAATCTCCAAACATGGGGCTTATGACAAATACCAGGCTGAGCATGAGTCAACAGTACAAACGAAGAAAACTGTATTGTTCTACAACACAAAAAATTCTGTCACCAGGGCACATGAACTTATTATTCCCTTAATACCTGTTGCTGCTAAGGCTGTATCTGCGATATTGTTTCCCATTTTATACTCCACAGTTTGAAAAGCATAGGAATAAGTTGGAGAAGATTCAGGGGTGGGCTAACAAGGTGATATGTCAGCTAGGAAAGGAGAAGCTGAAGAAGTGGGCTTATTCAGTCTGGTGAAAAGGAGCAATGACCTAAGAGCAAATTAAGACCTGAAGAGAAGATCATGGAAGCACATTCTTGAAAGCATCACAAAATGTAAAAAGAGGCAGCTGCTCCAACTTGTGGCATGGACAGTTCAGATTGGACATTGGCCAGGGGGAATCGCTTGGAATGCAGTATTTTTTTAAAGGCTAAGTGATTTTCTTTATTGAAGATTTTCCTGAATTAGCTAGACCAGATCACTAAATCCAGTGTTGGCAGAAGCCCTGATTTGAGTGAGTTGACATAGTTGACCACTGGAGGTCATTTGGATCTCCCTTCCTATGAATGCTCTAAGAATTTGTGATTCAGGCTTCAGTTCCTTCTTTTTTTTTTTTTTTTTTTTTTTTTTTTTTTTTCCCAGAGAATTAAACAGCAAATTTCTTCCATAATTCATGCAATCAATCGTTCTCCTTTCACTTAATGCACTGGTCTGAATGGACCGGTGTTAGCTTTCTTTATGGCAGCCCATGAAGTGCTCTTTTTTGCACTTACGGATAAAACAGAAGGTGAGAGTAACCCATGTTCTTGTTATTAGATTCCTTGGGGCAAACAGAATGAAACAACACTTGAATAATTAGTATTTGTAAATGCGCACAARTAGGCTTTATTTAGAACAATTTGGTTGCACAGGAAAGCATGTACTTAGATACTTTGGTAATTATCCGTAGTAAAATGCAATGTTGTGGATCATGGGGCACTTCAGGAGTCTTTGACACCTTCTGAGATACAGCTGCCTATTGTATCACTGAGTTTGAGTCCATTAYGACCCATTATGGTCCATCAGCAGAGATTGATACCTTCAGGCTACATGTGAATGCCATAATACTTCCCTGAAGAGGAGTTATCACAGCTGAATTCACTTGAGTACGGTGATTCTCCTGAACTTCCTGTTCTYTTTAATCTGGAAATTTTGTGCACCAGTCCTGGTCTGTTATTGAGAACTGCATCATAAATGTATCAACTATAATGCTAAAAAAGCAAGGTCTTTTTCAAAATTAGAATTAAGATATAACAAAATTTCAGCAGAAAATTATTGAGAGCTGAAAGTGAAATTTTACTTTTTATTTCTAAAAGGGGACTTTTTCCTGTTTTTATTTATAATTAAAGTGTATCAAATGAAACCCTCTATCATTTTCATTGCACTGATAATTAACTGAAGAGCTGTCTGAAAAGAAGCCAGGTCAAAACTAGCAGCTAATCGTTGGACCTTTGAAAAAAGAAAATTTATGCTCCTTACTTTTAAATTTGCTTGGAAAAGATGAAGTTATAGACTACAAAGATTATTAACAGATTAGAAAGATTGTACTGAGATCTGCTTAAAATAAAGATTTAAATTTATAGCCCAAGTTTTTACGGTATTTCGTTTCACTCTCAAGGTGCAGTAATTATATTGGCAGTGTAGTCAGACTTCAGTAGTACAATGTCAGACAATGTAATTCATAATTCAGTACAAGAATTTGGAAGAAGGCAAGCACTATTAACATGTTTAAAGGAAACTATCATGAAGCTGAAAATGAAATAATAGAACTTGCAATGTTACCATAGAACTTTCTGCTTCTTTGATTTKCCTGAAACCATATCGTAAATTAAACAGTTCTTATTTCTTCATTCATGTCAAAAAAGAAAGATTGGTRGCTTAGACAATATAAGAAATTATTTCACGTTATAATAGGCAATAATGTAGGTAATAGGTGAACACTTTCAATAGGTCTTCCAGATATTTGATGTTGATCCATAGAAAAACCATATCTTAATTCATGCTCATTTTAATTCCWAAGGGATTTGAGGAGAATAAAATTTGGTGGCACTCTTAAACCTTTTTTAATGCTGAAGTATTTTAGATTATTTCCTTAAACTTTTAATTTACAAGCTTATTATAAATATTTTCCCTATGATTTTTAATAGCATTCTTTGCAGAGAGTAAGTTAAGAAACAAATAAAGAAAAAAGCAAAACTATATTTAAGATGACCTTTTGTCAGCTGTTCAAAAAGTATAAGAAGCTACTTTTGTGTCTAAATATGCCATTGTTGTYCTCAATTTTCAGCATTATTTTGGAATGAATTTTAAATAGAACCCTTTTAATGGTAAAAAACCCCAACAAAATTAGTACATGTGAAACAAAACAGAAACACCACAGACAGTTTGTATACAGGTGTGTGTGTGAGTTTATAGATACATATATCTTCTTTTTTAACATGATATGGTAAACATATACATAATCACAGAATCAAAATGACAGAATGCCTCAGGTTGGAAGGGACCTCTGAGAAACCTCTGTTCCAACACTTCTGCTCAAGCGGAGATAACCTGGAACCATTTTCACAGGACTGTGTCTGAACAGGATTCTGCCAGTGCTTAGTCACCCTTTCAGTATAAAAGTATTTCCTGATGGTCAGAGGAAACCTCCCATGTTTCAGTTTGTGCCCACTGACTCTGATCCTCTGAGCACCACTGGAAAGAGCTTGGATCYCTTTTTATGCATCCCTCTTCAGGTATTTATGAACAATAGTAACAATTACCAGAGGCCACTCTTTTCTGGGCTGAACTGACCCAGCTCTCTCAGCTTTTCCTCATGGGAGTGCTGCAGTCCCTTCCTCATCTTCATGATTCTTCACAGTATTGTCTTCTACTCCTCTTCTTGGAGTATGTTCATGCTCCAGATATCACCTGCCTCCTCTGAGGCGAGGGCACAGTGCTGCCTCCTGTTCTGACAAGCCCCTGGGRTCTATTAGTGCACAAATGTACATTGCAGATACACATACACATGGACATACATGTCTACATGCAAATTTATTTCATTCTTTTATAGTAGAATGTAGTTAGGAACCTTTTCCTTAAAAGAGAMAATCCGTAGTTGTAGGAAGATATATCCATTAAGATGTGATTAGAATGGCTAAAGGTGTTCTTGCCTAGTTCCATGATGACACATGATATAGTGATTGCCATTCCCACCCCTCAGGGAGCAAAACGGTTCTTCTAAATCCTCACTATAGACTAAAGTATATATATAAAGTATATAAAGTATATAGACTAAAGTCTACCCTTGTCTGCAGCTGAAGCTGAAACATTAACTTCAGACCACAAAAGACAAATGCTGTAGAAGAGATTATATCTATGCCACTGAATTCTCCTTGTCTTTGTCTCCACCTTTCCTGAAACAGGATCTTTTATTCTGTGTTTATATCTCATATTCCTTGACACAAGCTGTGGTGTGAAACATTCAATGCAATGCCACAGCATATTTGAGCCCCTGCCTATTTTGATTACTAATGATGTATTCATGTTTACTAAGGTGAAAAGCTGGTTTCTGCTGTTGGTCTGTACACAGTGTGWTGTATCTGATAATGTTGATGCTACAGCATGAGCCAAGAATTTGTGCAGCTTCTATTGGGCAAAACATTATTTTATGGTGGGTTTTTTTTTTTTAAGTGTGAGAATTTGCTAGTGATACTTGGCCAACTGAAGGAATTTATAAGCGAGAGTTAAAAGTTAAAACAGTACCAAGTACCTAGAATTCCATGRCAGTAAAGATGAGTATGTTACACTGTTTTAGTGTTTTTCAGCAAAGATGTGCATGATAAAAAGAGCACAAATATTTTCTTTTAGAAATGCATAAGTTAAAGCTAACCTACACATTGCCAGTRTAAATTGTGTTTATAAATTTGCAGCTGCTTGTAACAGTAGATCACTGGTTAACTAGGAAAATTTTAAAAACAAACAAAAACACAAAAAAAAACAAACAAAAAAATACCAGAAAAACCACCATAAAGTAGAGATATTATTGTCTTTTCCTCTACAACACTTTTAATAATATCACTTTCAGAGGCTTGCAAATCACATCAGTAGGATAATGCATAGTCTTTCAGTGTTAAATACACAGTGGCTCAGATCCATTGAATCTGTTATAGGCATCTAAATTAGATTTCTTGCCCAGGAGCAGAAACAATGCAGTTCTTATAAAATGAAGTACCTAAATACCGTGTAAGCTGCTGGAGAGAAAATCAACAGAACCACATGAGTTGTCTTCTTATTTATACAGAGATGCTGTAGGCAAMCTGTAGGAAGCACTGAGCCTCTAAATCCCCTTAGAATTCACACATTACATCTGACTCTACATGGTCTTTAAAATGTTTATGAATTTGCATGTAATAATTGAGYAGAAACCTTTTAAATCTTAGATAACTGGCATGATGAGGCAAACTTGTAAATTCCTTCCACATCTCAGCTGGCATTTGGCAAAGAGGTATTTCTTTGTTCTGCTAAAAACCCCAATTAACCAGGCAGTTGTCAGACAGGTTCATTAAATTCTGACCTTTTCAATATATATTGAGCTAGAGGAAAC